GGAGTCCTGAGTTTGGCTGGAAAACTCTGGAACATGACATATGTCATGAGGGCGGGGAAATATTTCGTGCTGGCACCTCTTACGCCTCACCGGCCTACACGACAAGGCTAACAGACGGTCGAGAGAGAAGAGGCAGGTACGTCTCGGTTGGGAGTTCCATGGAGACCTAGACTTCTGGAGATGGGCGCTGAAAGTTAAACTGGCGGAGAAAGGAGAGTCACTTAGCGCGTTTTTCTTGAACCACGTCCAACGCACGCCTTTCCGTCACTACCTGTCGGATGCTAGCTTCGACGCACTCGGCGGTCACTGTCCCGAACTAAAGGTATTCTGGCGGTATCGATTTAAACCCGCGTTTACCGCGGAGCTGAAAAGGAAAGCGGAAGCCAAAGAAACCAGCGCGATCACGATCAACACTCTAGAACTGCTCGGAATGATAATTACATGTTGGGTGGTCCAAATGGTCGTGGGAGAAAAGCCGACGCAACACGGACAAGCTATCATGATGAGGGGAGACGATATGTCGGCGGTGTCGTGGGTGAACAGATGCGGGGGCTCGAGAGACAGGCGAGCGGGACTGCTCATGAGACTGCTTGGTCGCATGGAGATTGAAAACGGATGGTGTCATGTGGCAAAACACATCCCGGGACGCGAGAATACCCTCGCGGACGGGATATCTAGATGGAAGTCAGAGGACGTAGAAGTCAATGTGGAAAGACTCACGCATGATAATAACTGGCGAATGCAAGACATCGGAGACACCGGAAGAGAGCTAATTGAAATGATACTGCAAGAGAAACTCCAGAACCAAAGAATGGATGGCCTCGTATGGAGTCGCATGGCAAGCGTGTAAAGAAAAGAAGTAATAAGAGTAAGACGAGAATGATGAGCAAAAGAACTAACGAAGGTGTAATGACCCTAACGTGTTCAAGTACAGGAAGCGAACACGGGACGAAGGGAACGAGCGATGAAGGCGAAAGGCTCCTCAGGATAATGGAGCACGGCTCCCTGAACGCGAGCACGCTGAAAGGATACCACAGCAAGTGGGGCACGTGGACAGATTAAAGAGCTAAAGCGAATCTGAGTCCATGGTTGTACGAGGAGGACGGCGTGGATAGCGCAGTGAGAGAGCTGACTGTGTTTATGGCATCGAGGTGCTTAGTGTATAAGAACCAGAGCCAAACGGTGAAGGGGTACCTCGCGGCTATCAAGTACTTCCATAAACTGTACGCAGGCTGGGAGCTGCCCACGTCGCACTTCAGAGTGGCAGCTGTTGGGAACGCAATAGACAGACTGCATGCGAGGGCAGAGACGAAACAGTTGGTAAGGCAACCGCTCACCGTGCCGATGATTATAGCGGGGAGAGAAAGATCGCTGACGGATGTTTTCAGACTGGTGACATGGATGGGGATCGCTCTCTCGTATTTCTTGCTGTGCCGAGCGTCTGAGCTGTGGGCCTACCACAACGGATTAGTACACGCCGATTTTTGTCTTACGAGAGGGAACCTCGTATTCTTCGAAGGATCGTGCCGGCTAGCGTGGGACGAAAGAAGGCGGGCAGACAGAGTAGAAGTGACTTTTCGCGCATCGAAAGCGGACCAAAAGAGGCGAGGCGCGGTAGTGACGAGAGAGAGATTAACGCGGGACGAGGAAGTGGGACAGATGGCTGAGAAGATGGGGGCGCTCGAGATTTTGCTGAATCTGCTTGACGTGCACCCAGAGTTAGGAAGTACCGCGCCGCTCATGCAGTCGGTCAAGCAGGGACGGTGGGCAGTAGTGTCGAGGTCGGAAGCAACAACAGCGTTGAGAGACATGGCGAGAAGAGTAGGAGAAAACCCAACGCACTTCGCGCTACACTCAGGGAGGATAGGTGGTGCGACGCAACTAGCAAAGCAGGGCGCATCGGTTATTCAGATTCAGAGGGCGGGAAGGTGGAAGTCAGGAGCCTTTATGACGTACGTTAGGGCAGGAGGGGAAGGCGCTAATTATGTATCGCGCGCACTAGCGTCTAGTTGAAGGGGAGAAATAGCGTGGACAAGAGCGCCGAATATCGGGCCGCGCAATGGGATATGAGCTGGGCATAGACGTCGGGTTGGCCCGATAAGTGATACCTAGTGAGTCCGAGAGGAAGTCAATGGTTCGGCTCATAGGTTGGATTTTGGTTTTGATATTTCTTGGTTTCGGTGTTTCTGATTTCTTGTCGCTTTTTCTAATAATCCAAATTTCTTGAGCAAATCACAAAACGAAGGATTCGGTATAACCGTGAATCCGTGGTTTGTGGAAGCGTACCGGAAATTTCGTGAAAGAGCGGCGAGAGACAAAAAAGGGTACACGGGGGTATAGCTATGTACAGGATACAGAGAAGAGAGAGAGGTTGGCAGAAGCTTTTGGGATCCTTGGGAAGCCGAGGACCTCGAAGGGAAAAACGTTGCATCGCCCGCAAAGGCAGTGAAGCAAAGCAGCAGCGAGAGAAAAGAGTTTTCGTTTGGGACTTGATCGAATTTTCCCACCCACCCACCCTGTCGCTCAAGAGAGGAGGGATCTATGGGAAGAGAAAAATCTGTCTAGTACCAAATCTGTTCTCCAATTTGCGTTGACTTTTGTGTTTTCTTGTCAAGGGATATGACCTGGGCATAGACGTCGGGTTGGCCCGATAAGTGATACCTAGTGAGTCCGAGAGGACGTCAATGGTTCGGCTCATAGGTTGGATTTTGGTTTTGATATTTCTTGGTTTCGGCGTTTCTGATTTCTTGTCGCTTTTTCTAATAATCCAAATTTCTTGAGCAAATCACAAAGAAAAATATCTCGTGACATCACGGGACTGTCAGCTTTCCTTGGTGTGAGCGTAGCGTCTTTGGTGTGTGGTGAGTGGTGATGCTGGCGATAGCATTCTCGGCAATGGTAATATGCTCGGCAAACGGACAAGTCTTCTACCAACCTCTGCACGGCACGAGCCGTTTGAGGGATGAGTTGAGCAGGAGAAGGGTGTGTGTTATCGAAAGCCACCAGACGTTCGGGAGATCGATGCTCTGATGCTCTCTCACCTGTTTCCTAACCCATCGTGCGTCTTCCTCGTCGAGGTCTTCCGCGTAGAGATCGTCGTCTTTATCGAATCTTAGCGTCTCGTCATCGCTATCTAGTCCACCGCTGGGGTTCTCGTGCAAGCGCGTCCCTGGTACGGGCTCCGGGTCCACCTCCATGGTCTTGGGCGTTTGAATTGTGGGAGTGGCCGTAATGTGTGTGCGGCGGAATCTGCGGCACGGAAGATACCACCCCTCGACAGTCCCGCCGCAGACGTAGGATCAGTGCACGTTGCTCACAGCCAGACAGAGGCAAGGCCCGTGGCGGCGGAGGCAAGGCTTCCGGCGGGCTCATGTCTAGCGCGCGACGGTTGGCAAGAGCACTGATGGCGGTGTCCACTTTTCTACGAGCGCCGTGGGGAGTTAGCCTCGCGGTCAAGGCAACCATCAATGCCCGACCTCGTCCTCCAGGAGCATCAACTTGGTCAGGTTACCATCGCAGCAGCAGTTGCGGCGGTCGAGGTGTTACTGCTGTACGGCAGAGAGCGGTTGCGACAGGAAGCGGCGAAGCTGCGGTGCTGTCAGAGCCAGTTGACGTAAGGGTGGAGGATGCTAGCAAGAGCGCCGCAGAAGGGGTTGAAGTGAGCCAGCGAGAGGTGCTCAGTAGGGAGGCGTGGATGGCACGAGCGGAGGCGCACCGGAAGAGGTGGGGAGCACAAGCACGAAACCACGACGCAGCCGAGTGCGCGGGAAGGGTAGTGAAGTACATCAATGCTAGTCAAAGGTCTTGGTTGCGGTGGAAACTTGGCGAAGGGTGTACTGCTGTAGGCGATGGTATTGCGTCCCTTTCCCGCATTCTTTCCCCAGCGTTCGCTGCCACGTGCAGTATTGTGTGGCATGTTGGGTCCCCATTACGACAAAAGCGCGTGTGGATGTAATTAGTAGTAACAATCATTCAGTGCAGCCTTTCATCCCTAACGCACAGCGTAGAGCATACAGTGCAGCCTTTCGTCCCGAACGTACAGCGTAGAGTTAGTGCATGTTGCAGGCATCTCCATGAAATACCAACACAGCAGCGTGAGGTGTAGGTTTGCGGCGAGCGTATCGCGTCCCGCTCGTCCTTCCCTTGATCGTTGATTGGCCCGTTGTTCCATCTACAGGGTGCGGTCTCTTACGAACGGTTCAGTACATCACGATAAAAGCGATCCCATCTTCAACTTCCTGTTCGAGTACTACCACTTCAAACCCAGGTGTGTATGCAAGTCTACAACTGCTGTAGTTTGTGCCGATCGACACATCTAGTTGGTCAATGAACTTTGATCATCCACCGTAAGGTCGGCCCCGGGGTGTACTCATGTAACCGCACGTCAAAGTCGTTAGACCACTGACCTCGCATTCCTACAAAGGGAGGGTAGCGTTTATACCTTGTGGGAGAATACACGAAGATGCCTGAGCTGCTGCACACCGAGTTCATGAATGCGTTTGTTTCTAGGTTGATATCGAGCAGACGCCGGTCGCGGTCTTCGGCGCTGGTACACACAGCAGCGTAGAAGGCGTTCTTCTTGTAGACTTACTAAGGTTCTTAAGCGAAACTGCTTCAATGATTCCCCTATCATGCGTTGAGAGAGAAGGTCCCTATTAGCTCGCCCCTACCCCCGCTAACCCGCCCACGACGTGACTACGGCCGTGGGCGGCAGTACGATTACGGTAGCCCCGCCATGTTGTCAATGTGTATGCTCTTCGACCATGCCGCCTTAACAACAACAACAACGCAGGATGCTGCTACAGTGGACGCCCGGTTTTGACGCCTATCTTCTGGACGCTGACCCTTCTCTCAAAGGTACCAGTGTTTTGTGTCGGGGCTGAGGGTTAGTAGCAGGCGTCGTCGTTAAGAGGCTAATCGAAGGTCGCATTCAACATATTCACAGCTTTGGCATCTCATGCAAGGCAGCGTCCGATCCATTCTTTCATCCTTGCAGCTTCGAGTTTTGACCATTCTATGAGCACCTTCTTATGAGAAGTAAAGAAGATCGACTGCAGATACGGCGCGTTTCATTACGACAGGCAATTCGAACGTCTTCTCGCATGACATCGAAACATGTGCCGTTGGCTGCCTGGGTAGTGCATCAATTCACCTTTCGCGGTAGAGATGGCGACCTCTTCTCCACAATCTTTCTTGGTGTACTACTTTGAAAGAAAAATATTTTCCCATGTTGGGGTGGAAGGCTAAGTACACCATGTTCGCAACACGGATCTCCCGGAGAGAAAAGGAGTTAATGGGTACGACATTTCCGCCGCCGACCTACTGACTGTACCGTCCCACAACCGACCGGGCGGCTATATGACCATGCAAACAAACCGTCCTGCTTTCTGTACGCCCGCTTGGGGTGCTCCACGATTAGTGGGGCTTTCGTCATTACCTCTCTGTCATTCTCGCCCACGTTTCTCGACCGCCCCCACCGGACGGCTTCTAAGCCAACAGGTTGTCCACTACCGCAGAAGGCGTGGGAGTCGGGCCCAGGGGCTGGGGGGAGTTACAATCCGTTCGGGCTTGATAATAACAGGTGGGGGGGGGGGGAGGGGAGGGAGATCGGGCGGGAAATGCCACTGTATGCAGATTCAACTCCTTCGAGAAGTGGGCATGAATGACCCGGGGCCTGTGGGCAACGAGGTTTCGATTTGAAGCTACCTGGTGAACGTTAGTGGGCATTGCAGGTTACTCACATGTAGATACAACCAACCCCGGAGAGTAGGGATTCCACAACTTTCCCGCACCTTTAATTCCTTCTAGGCGAGAGAAGCAACCTGAGAAATCCGTTGAGCCCGTCTGGTACCCTGTCATCCTTCTCGTGTCGGCAGAAGTGATTGATTTCTGCAATCCTAAACGCTGGACTTCTGGACTACAAAAATATTGTCAATGGGAATCGCTTGTATCCCACGGAAGTGTACTGGTTGGCACCTATCCCGCTACCTCCTATCCCAAGTCATTTCGGATGTTGTTCGTGCTGCCGACAGACACATTCATCATTCTGAAGAAAGAAACGACGCCGGTTCAAGCATATGACCCCAGCGGATTGAAAATCTCTTGGATCGGTTTCACTCCGACCCGAAAAAAGCGTTCGACTCAAGATCCACGTCCCCTCCCTGCCTGCCGCCTGCGAGTGTAGGCGAGTCCAGGTGCAGTGGATGCGAGACCTTCTCCAAGCCACGACCTCGAGAGCACCCGTGCTCCACTGCTTCGGCCTCCACGAGTGGGCGATGCTCTACCGTCCCCGCGGTGCGGAGGAGGCTGGTATCGACGCGAGGAGTGTCCACCAGACGCTGCCCCTGCGAGTGTCCCAGGACGAGGTGAGAGTTTTCTCGTTGTTTTCCTGGGTTTTTTTTTCTCGTATTGTTGTGTTTTTTTTTTGTGCTATTGTGAGCGAGTTTCCAAGTGTGGGTGGGCAGGGTGTGGCAGTGAAGCTGGTTGTTGTAGGTTTGGAAGTTACGTTTGCAGGGAGGGGGTGATTGGCCGAGAGTACGATGCGCACGCTTTCGCGCCTCTGCGGGCGTTCGAGACCACCGTCAGATATATATTTTTTTTCGCGCATGGCAGTTGAGCTATGGTCCTGCTCATGTGCTTGGGCAGCGGCTCATCCGCCGCACGTTTCCCCTTTCACCGCGAAACAAACGCTTCCCCTAGCGGATGGAACCGGCAGGAAGCGAAAATTGTGCGCCGCCCGCAAGAGTCGGGCAAACCTCACGCTACCTACACCGCGCGTGTCCACGCGCCACTCCTCTCCATCTTGCTTTTTTTCTATTTGAAAAGTCGCTCTCTCGCAGTCGTTCCTTTTGCACGTTGCCTGATTTGCGTTGTTGGTCTTCCGTACAATCGCGCTCGTCGAGTATCTATCGTCGTTGCCTTAATTTTTTCATCCGCCGGTTCCGCGTGCGCATTTCGTGTCAGATCAACGCGATGGTGGAGGGCAGAGGCGGCGCGTTGGCGTGTACCCACTTCGACGCCTTTCGCTTCTTCACCCCGGAAGCAAAGTGAGCTAGGCAACAGCCCCTCCCGCCCCAAAGGAGGCGAATCACTGTTGTAGGAAGGGGTGGTAGGGTTCGTGTAGAAAATTCAAGATATTTACTAGAGCGGATTGTACTAAGAGACAGAGCCCTCGTACGTGCAGAGATGTCTCTGCTAGGAGCAGTTAGGGGTTCCCTATTTACTGCTGCTGTAGGGACGTCCACAGATACGCCGCCAGGTCACAATTAGGCGAGCAAGCACTCGTGCTGCTCTAGAGGGCAGGCGCTCTTCCTCGCCCTGTCCCCACCGTGGACTTTGTTTTCCATCGGGCATCAGAGGTCCAGGGGCGCGTTTGCTGGCTGACCGTGAGCGCGCGGGTACGCAGACGACATCGCGGTAGTTGGATCCCTCCCCCCCTCCCGGCCCTACACTCTCTCCCGATATCTACGGTTCCCCCGAAAATGTGCAGGCCTTTGAATCCTGTGCAGCTGGAGAGGGTCGGCCAAAGATCCAACGACCAGCCGGGGTGCGTCCACGCCAACATGGACTTGTTCAAGTGGGCCCTTAGGCTTTGGCCGCTGCTGCCATCGGAGAAGCTCGCCAACGCCCTCGAGCTGGCGGTGTCCTGCCGAATGCTGGTGCGTCCGTTCGCCCGCACGACGCATCTGAAGTGGTGGTATAGTTTACGCATGCGTACCAGCTGCGGCAATGTATGACGCAATCGTCCAATAACGTTTGTACGGTGGTGATTGTGGCCATGCTGTCCCCGCGCCCCCCCTCCCTGCGCATGCGCAGGAGCACGGCCTCCACCGTCATCGGCAAGGAAGACGACGGTGACAACCCAAAAAAAAAAAAGGATAACAGCAGCAGCTACGCAACCCCCCCCTATGTCCGCTACTCATCTGACCCCCACCCTCCCCTCCGTCGGACGTCGCCATCAACCGGCCCGCCGTTGATCGCGTGTAGGACATGAGAGCTTCTCCGTACGATCTCACCGCACACGGCAAGGTTCCCGACACGGTCGTCGGCAGGGGGGGGGGAAGGGTGGGGGGTCTGCCGCCAGAGGCGTGGGACCCCACCCCGGTTAGGATAGAGACCGAGGAGGGTCGGAAGGAGTACCAGCAGGCGCAGGCAGAGCTGTATCAGAGGTCGATGCCCGTGAGGCGCTCGCTGATGAGACACATGGACAGGCTGCTGGATGTCTGGGGGAGATAGCCGGCTGCAGAGCGAGGGGACGACGATAATTTCGTGCGCTTGAGATGGAGCCTGCCGAACGCCTGGCATTATGGTAGACCGCTCGTGGTCACTCGTGGTCATGTGTAGGTCGGGATAAGCCAGAAGGAGGGCACACAGCACCCACCTACTGCCTTGTTTATTAGCATGCTATCCACATTGCGTCTTCGACATCTATATTCTCGGATGCCTGTAACACTTGCAACTTCTTACTGACGAGCTGCCGGAGAGATGGAAACGGACACACCGTATCGTACCTGGCTTGTCGGACAAACACGGGCGGCGCTTGGGCGGGATCTTGAAGGGCGAGTGTTGCTGTACGCTCTTAAGCAAGCGGCCCTGCTTGTTGTCGCTCGGGGCATTTGTCTCGGTGATGGTGTGAGGTCATTGCGAGCTTGGTGTCGCGCTTACAAGGAGTGTCTCTGGTTTCGTACAGGAGATTGTCCAACGAAAAGCAAAAAGGCGTAAGACTCAAGACGATAAGCCTTTCACTGCAACTCGACGAAGTGCGTGCACCACTCACTAGCGGTTGTGGCATGAGTTCTCATCAAGATAACTTGACCTGTCTGTGTAGCTTAGTCTACACACAATTTTACTTGACAATCAATGGCGAAGAGTGAAGACCAACAACCACCCTCAGAACCCAACACCAACACGGACTGGAAGAACAACAGCAACAATGAAGCACACACTCACAATGGATAAAAAAACGAATGCCGCATCGACACAGACAACGCCGAGCCTGTGCCTGCACCTAGATCACACTAAATGTTCCAGAACACGAGCATTCCAAAAACTACGAATGCCACTTCACACACACAATGGAATCATCACTCCTGTTGAGGTTCGACAACATTGACTGCTCGAAGCAACCCACGCGCCGCTTTTTCTGTCGTCCAGGGCAGACTCTTGGGTGGGGAGGGAAGGGGGCGGGGGAGCCGCACAGGTCGAGAACACGATAGCTGTACATGACAGCAGCAGGCCGTTGTGCCCGGGCAGTCGGCTGAATCGAAGTGTAGTAGCTATCGAAGCAGGTCGAAACACCAGACCGAGCATGGCGGCTTGTTTTCCTTCCGCTTCACGCTCGCTCCAGGCCGATTTGCAGCTGCTTCATCCACTCCAGTGCCTGGGCAAACACACAGCAAGGGGAAGATCACGTACGACAAGACGAGTAGGACGTTACGTTAGAAGAACATATGATGCATTACCGTAAACAAAATGCAGCAACGTAAACAAAATAACTCAATGGGACTAGACGCCTGCAATGCTCAGGAAATAGAAAAATACCACCGGTTCGCCGTTCGCAACACGTGCAAATGTCACGGAACTCCTGCAAAAAGCTCCTCCATGAAAGTGATTCGGACAGCCAGATATGCTGGTGAAGGGTACTATCTGCAAGTCTCAACAACAGCAACAACGGTGGAAGCAGTTACATGCACGTCATACTTTACCTCTGGGGTCAGGTCATCGCGCTGGAACTTGAGGCAGTACCGGGCGTAGCCCGCGAACCGCTCCCTGTCCACCGGCCTCAGCGCTATCAGCGCCTGTCTCACTCGCGGGACCCCCATGAGGCCCGCCATCGCGTTTAGGAAAGCCGGGGAGTAGCTGTTGGCGTTCCCCTGCGTTACGGGGAGGAAAAGCAACCCGCGCACGCGAGATCATTGGCAATTTGATGAGTCAGGCACAGAAAACGAGACAGGAGGAGGGGAGGAGGGGGAATGTAATCGTGACTCTATGTTCCCATATTGCACAGTGAGCAAACGCGCACTTCCAGCTGCATATAATGGGGAGTTTTTCGAGCAAGGGAGAGAGGGAGTGTGAAAGATCCTTGCGCTGAAACCAAAACTCATCCCAGGCATGGTATTGCGATGGTGGCAAACAAATAAGCGCAGGGAGAGAGAGAGAGAGAGAGAGAGAGAGAGAGAGACGGATCAGAGGTGAGTACGTCCGACACCCGGGGGATACCATGGCAGGAAAAAGCTTGTATTCTGCTAGACAATAAAGCAAAACAACGCTGTTCCACGCACGGCTGGCTCCATGGAATCATTGTCTCACCCCCCCACACACACGCCAAACGCCCCGTAGACAAAACATGAGCATCTTCCCCTCTTCCTTCCAACTATTACAGATACCATGTACCGCTGTTTGTCTCACCCCTCTTGCCACCGGTCTCGGGATGGCCACACCGACGATCTTCACCATGAAGAAGCCGATCAGAGCAGGGTCTAGGCCTGGGCCCGCAGCCAGCTTGCGGAGGTACTCGAAAACAGGGAGCATGTATCCTGAGAGAGCCGGAAAACGCGTCCGTGACGGGCGAAAAGATGAAGCACGGGCAGATACCGTCAGAAGGCGATGCTCGCATGTGATTGGCTCGATGCTGACCGTGGTATGTTTTTGTCTGACTGTGTGCATACAATGGTGCTGTGTGTTGCCGAACATGAGTCCGGCCGGGGCTATATTATGCAGCACGAACAGTGGCTTATCGCGAAAAACACCAACAGTAACGCCAGCAAATACACTGGGGATGAATAGTGCCAATGTGCACTTCTGCCCCCGCGACGCAATTCCAACATCACTGCGACGCAAGACAGGGCTCAGGGTCGTCTCCTATGGTTCGGACAACTGCTTCACGGTAAAAACCGCAACACCAAACACCCCCGAGCGAGCGAGAGAGTGAGTGACGTCGCCGGGACCGCACCTTTGACCACGAGCTCGGCCATGCGAAGCAAGATGTGCTGCTTCAGCTTCGCCTTCGCGGCGGGAGGCGTGTCGGGCGCCGTGCGCGCGTTCAGCATCAGCTTCAAGATCTGGAGCAGATAACGGGAAAAAGCGCGGGCGCGGAACATTTGTCACGGAAAAATTAGGTAGCCCATGGCGAATAAAACGACAAGAAGAAAAGTACTGGCGTTCGCCCTCCAAACAGTCGGGTTCTGCGTACTAATAATAGAAGTGTGTGTGTGTGTGGGGGGGTACTCATAGTCGTGCATGCCGTAGTCTTTAGACCATTGACCTAGCATCCCTACAAAGCCGGGACGGAGCGCGCCGGGTTCTCACCGGACCAGGCTCTCACATCACCAAGCGCGAAGCGCCGTGAGGTATTCGGCGAGTCGCATGAAGGGTGCGCTGCATCCTGCTAAGGGTGTTCGGCATCTTGTGCTTACTTCCTTGCATACGGATGACAGCTGCGTATGACTTAATTTATTTTCTGGTGCTTTCACTTCCAGAGGCAGTTGTAAGCACTGTGTAACTGCCGCGGGGGTGCTTGGCCGATTTTACACGACGTGCGATCATCCCCCTTGCGCGGAGTGAGGGTTCTCCACCCCGCACAACATGATCTACTCGACCACCATTATGGTTACCGCCAAAAACAAATCGAGGAAAAAAGAAAAAGCGGTAACGTGGTTGGCGAGCTCACGAAGTGAATCGGCTTGTTTTGCAACATCGCTGCCAAGCGACGAAAACCCAACCCCGATGGCCCACACCGGGGGGGGCGGCTCGTTTTACAACGTCGTTGCCAAGCGACGAAAACCCAACCCCGATGGCAAACATCGAAGGAGGGGGGGATACAAGTGGGGGGGGGGGGGGGGGGATTTTTTTCCTTTTGGCCCTTTTTTTTTTTCCCCCCAAAAAAAACCCCCCAATCCCCCGCCCCCAAACCCCCCTTTTTCCCGAAACCCAAAAAAAAGAAGGGGTGCCCTTCCCCCTTTTCCAACCAAAAAAAAAAAAAAAAAAACCGGGTTTTTTTTTAACCCCCTTTTTTTGGGCCCTTTTCCAAAAATTAACCCCCCGCCAAAATTTGCCTTCCCCGGGGGGAAAAAAAGGGCAAACCCCCCCCCCGGAACCCCCCCCCCCCCCCCCCGGGGCCCGGGGGGAAAACCTTTTTAAACTTTAATTTTTCCCTCCCGGTTCCCCCCCCCCCCCCCCAATCGGCTTTTTTGGGCCCAAAAACCTCCCCCAAAAAA